AAAAGTTATTTTAAAAAGGTTATTTTAAGTTAATAGACTTACTTTTATTAAGTATCTTACTTTATATATATTTTATATACTTTAAGCTTAATTATTTTTATAAAAAAGTAATAGTTATTTATTTATATACCTTTAAAGTTAATTATTAAAATACTAACTTTTTAGTTAAAATTAAAATCCTCAGTAATAATAAAGGTAATAAGTATCTTACTTATATATATTTATTAGTATTCTTTACCTTTATATACTGGAGGCTAAAGCCTCTTTAAACTACCTATAACCTTACTCCTGTGTCTAGAAAGGATTGCACTTAACTTATCCAGATCACGACAACACCAAAGTCATGGAATAGATAAGCGCGTGTTTTTTTTAAGGCTAACAACCCTGAACTAAAACAAAGTCTGTAAGTGCACATTAGTTGTTTGTGGCTTCAAGACGCGTATATCTCTGGGCAGATGTCGGTGAAATACGCTACTGCTAAGAAAGGCGAAACACCGATTAATAAAACCTTCCATTGTTCCTTTCAATAATGAGAAATTTCGATTTAATTAACAAGAGGGCTAGAAACTCTGTTGCTTGATCTATCGATAAAAAGTCTCACTTTGCTTCTTGCAACATGTCAAATAGTAAGTAGTGAAGATCGAATGATCTATCCAAGTCACCCTTCGCTTAGCAGTCCCTAACACCTAAATACAGAAAATCACAAACCAGGAACATCGACTGATGTTTCCGCAGCCGATACATCTCCTATTCGCCGCGACATCGGCCCTCTCCGCATAATCGCGATCGGTTTCAACATCCCTAACAGTTGGGTCGCCATCGCAGCAAGTCTATCCACCGCTCTCGCAGCCGGCGGCACAGTCAGTCTCATCTACGGAACCTTCGTTTCATGTGCCTTTTATGCCTGCGCTACAGTGACGCTCGCCGAACTAGCCAGTGTATACCCCACTGCTGGAGGCCAGTATCATTTCACCAGCATTTTGGCTCCTGAAAGGTACAACCGCCAGTTTTCGTATGTCTGCGGTATGATATCAACGCTGTCGTGGACTATTAATGCTGCAAGCGTGGCCCTTATCGGGAGTCAGTTGCTTGTGTCTTTTCCTCAGTTCTTTAATGGCTATGAGCCGGAGCGATGGCATTTGTTTCTTACTTATCAAGGACTGAACTTGTTTTCACTCTTTTATAACTTGTTTATTGTCAAGCGTACAAACTGGATCCACGATTGCGCATGTATGTCAATCCTCGTCAACTACATATTTTCGTTCTAACGGAGTCATGCAGTTGTCCTTACTCTATCAACCTTCTTCGTCACATGCATAACATGTTTATCCCGAAGCGAAAAACAATCTTCAGAGTGGGTATGGACAAATTTCGAGACCGCGACTGGTTGGAATGATGGCGTTGCATTCATGACCAGCTTGGTAACGCCCTGTTATATGTACGGCGGTCTGGACGCTGCCCTGCATCTTGCTGAGGAGACGTTGAATGCATCGCAGACGGTTCCGCGAGCTCTTATGGCAACAATAGGTATTGGCTTTCTCACGGCGTTTTCATTCGCCGTCTCCATGGCGTACTGCATCTCTGATCTGGACGGCCTCCTTACAGCTACGTAAGTATATCTCCCAGCCGTGGAGATTTATGACTGACCTTAAAAGAATGCCCATTTTTCAGCTTTGGCGTACCGCAACGCGATCAGATGCCGCTGGGGTAACTTTTCTCGTTTCCCTAACGATCGTCGTTATCTTTGTCCTCATCGCCATCCAGCAAACGACATCTCGCCTGATATGGTCATTCGCTAGAGACCATGGCCTCTACCTCTCACACCATTTCTCTCAACTTTCGCCACAGCTTAGGTGGATTCCTGCCAATGCGCTTATTCTCAACACAGTCCTTGTGTTCTTTTGTGGGTGCTTGTTTCTGGCTTCGACTGCAGCTTTCAATGCTCTTGTTGGCTCATTCCTCCTATTGCAAATGATCTCATTTGCTCTACCAGCTGCCCTACTTATCTACCAGAGGCGTAGCACAACCTTTCTTCCTCGATCCCGTGGCTTTCGAGTTCCGGACACCGTTGGGTGGATTTGCAATTTTGGAACTATTGTTGCGGCTGTTATTGAGCTTGTGTTCTTTGTGTTTCCTCTCTCCCTCCCCGTATCAGCCCTGTCCATGAGTGAGTCCCCTTGTGATACCTAACACGCTTTCGAATAGCATACTAACAGTTGAAAAGACTATGCCAGTGTCGTTCTGTTAATCCTCTTGTTGTTCTCGGTGATGAATTGGTTCATGTTTGCGAAACAACACTACCAAGGTCCCCGGGTTGAGCTTCTCCTAAACCAGAACATATCTGCAGCTACATCTTTCGAAGAAGCTCAAGCAGTCGGAAATTTAGGCAAATGTACTCCAGGCAAAGATAAATGTACCATACCTTAAGAGATAATAAGGTTTAAAAACCTCAATATGAATAAAGAGTCAGGTTCTGATTTAGAGTAAGGTATTGGCTTAGAGTTAATTAAATATTTCCTCGCAGTTTAAATCAATATTAATCCTAATGTAGAAAGGCTGTAATATATACAGCGGTTAGTAGAGATGGTCTAATTTCCAGATAGGCAGTTAACCCGGCTGTCGCGGGAAGTTCCGGGGCCAATGGCACGGATCAGAGATCGCAGCTGCTTACAATGCAGTACCCCTCTTTGCAAGCTCGGCACTTTATCATTTACAACTTCCCTTTTATTCCTTGCACAGTTTACTAAAAGAGGGACTGTGGGTCGGTATAGTTTATGCGTCAAAGATATTGAAAGCCCAGAATGTATTCGCAGTCGATAGGCACCGAGTCGTTCCGCCTCGTCTCTGTTACCATTGACTCCAATCGGCAACCCTCTCTGACCCTCAAGAAACATGAAATTTCCAGTCCTACCAGGCCGGAATACTACGCACTCTCCTATACGTGGAACCCCCCCTATATGGGCGATCCAGCATACTACGAAGACACTGACGTGCGCTACATTCTCCTCAACGGGTCCGAATTTGCTGTCAAGCCTAATCTTCACGATGCTCTCTTCCAACTCCACCATTCTTATTCTCAGATGCTATTCTGGATTGACGCCCTCTGCATCAACCAAAATGATTTACACGAGCGCAAACTTCAAGTGGGCATCATGGACCGAATCTTCGGAGGTGCCAGTCGTGTGGTTGTCTGGCTGGGGAAACCCTTTGCTAAGCTTGAGCTAGGGCTCCAAGTTGCACAACGAATAGCCAGCATCGCCTCAACAGCTTGCAAAGCCATCGTTCGGGAGCAGAGGTATCCCCACACCCATCACCTTGAAGAAATGAAAGATACCTATGGACTTGACCCGTTGAGCTTCGACGAGGCCGATGCCCTGGTTACGCTCTTCAGTTGCCGCTGGTTTGGGAGACAGTGGGTTATTCAGGAAGTGGCCCTAGCGGGGCAGATCGATATCATATGCAATGAAATGAGCGTTCCGTTTGATAAAATCGGGTCGACAGCGTTATTCTTGCATCTAAGTGGCCTGCTTGTGGGAATAGGCAACTTGCTGGTCGCGGGCGGGAGAAACATGCGTTTGTTGGAAGACATGCACCTCATGCAGACCGGGAGAACTCAAATAGTCCGCGAATGGTGTAAAGGCGATCGCAGTGAGTGGAGGGATGTTTTACCTCTGATCGACTTTACAGCTGGAATTGTCGAGAACACTGTGGCCGTCGGTGAAGGAAAGGAGGGAATAGTCGGCGTTGTTCTTCTAAAGCTGCTGATGTGGCTGGTCGGTTTCGATTGCGGAGACCGTCGCGATACTATATACGGACTGGCAGGTATAATCAGCCACGTCGTCAGTATTCACGGTCTCGACAGCATTCCTCAGAGACTCCAGCCGGATTATCGTCTCGATACAGCCACTGTGCTCCACAATGCCGCGACGGAGATTCTACAGGCGACTGGGAGTTTGGCTCTTCTGGGTGTTGTCAAGGACCCAGCTCTACGTGAGACCAAAGGCCTACCGTCCTGGGTCCCAGATTATCCCCCGAGAATGGCCTTGAATCCAATGGCCGGACCAAACTTCAAGTCTCTGGGTAAGTTTGACGCGTCGAAATCTATAAATACAGCCAGGTATGGTGTCGACTTCCATGTAGACGACAAGGTCCTGCGTGCTCGTGGGTTCCTCCTGGGTCGTGTTAAAGCCTTGGGCGAGTCTTTGCAACCCATGGTATCTGGTGGTGACTTCGCTCAGTGCGCTGCAATGCTAGTCGACGCAGAGGAGACATATCGGTTCACGAACCAGCCCTTCGCGGAGGCATTCTGGCGAACATTGGTGTTTGACCAGGACTTATCCGACCGCCCAGCCAAACTTCCCACAACCAAGCATTTCCAAGACATGGTACTTATGATGATGGCTAAAAGAATCAGCGATGAGTTCAAATCTGGAGGATCGGTAGGTGTCGAAGCCTTTCTACAGACTTTGGAGGCTATGGACACGCTGGAAGCCAAACATCCAAAACAAAGCCCTTTCCCCACGACTAGGCTCCTAGCCTCATTCTGCAGTGGGTTTGGCTTCCTTCCCGAAAATGGGAATGATAAAGTATGGTCATCGGCACAGCAGATGGCTTGGATGGAGTCAAAGAAGAAGAACTTGGTATTTATGTTTTCCTTGCTAAGCACTACTCTATTCAACCGGCGGCCAGCGATAACGGATGGAGGGTATTTGGCCTGTGTTTTTGACTCTACGATGGTAGACGATGAGGTCTGGATTGTCTCCGGGTGTCCCACGCCGCTGGTTATGAGAAGTAAGGGTCAACAGTACACTCTGATCGGTGAGACTTATGTTCATGGTATTATGCATGGGGAGGCTATTCGGGATGATAATAATTGGGTTAATCTGGAAATTGTATAATCCCCAATCAAGAATTATCGACAGAATGAAATACAGTCTAGAACATGGAAAACCCATAAAATGTAGAGCTCTCATAGGCGTAGTAGTTGTTCACTATTGATTCAATATAGCGCTAGCGATGGTCACTATTGACACTATTGAGTACTAGTGATTGAGGTGTAGATTAAGATTGACAACTCATCACAATAAAAGGCTGTGCAGACCTAAATTAAAAATTAGACATTTTATCACTTTCTCTACAGTCTTTACCATACAAAGTTAATTGCAATGAGGGCGACGCGAGTTTCTCTTTCATTCGTTGCGCTTACGCTTCGCGGCAGTGGGCACGCAGGCCCATGCAAGCCAATCCTCTCGTCTACAGCTCTTGTTGGTACCACTTCCACTGAAGCAACGATTCCAGGCTCCACGGAGACCTCGATAGCCACTTCTAGCGACCAGGCTTCGACTACCGATATTTCTTCTATCGTTTCCGAATCTGTTTCTTCGACCGCCACTTCTGAACTCGAGTCCTCGACGACCGCTTTGTCTTCTGCCATTTCCGAATCTATTGCCTCAACAGCCACGACGACAACGGATTCCCAATTTTCCTCCACGACTGAGCTTTCCACTTCCTTCATCACTACAGACACAGCCACTGCGACTACTTCAGCTGAACTCTCCTCGATTGAGACTCTCACGACCACGACTGCAGAGGCAACCACTTCTGACGCTCCTACAACCACTACCACGACTGAGGAATCTGCCCCCTCTGGGTTCTTTGCAAACCCCTCGTTTGAGGTGCCAAACTCTCTGGGAGTCTACGATGGATCGCCATGGGCTTTGCAAGACAGCAGCTTTCCATTGTCAGTTAGTATCAAATCCGGACTTGGCCATACTGGCTCCCACTCAGCGTATGTACCTCCCAATGTACATGGACATTCTTCTTGAAAGACATACTGATGCCAACAACGCAGATATTGGTCGGTCACAAGCACCGATACAAGTGCACGCATCCAGCAGATGGCCGCCTTGGAGGCAAACCAGATGTACTCGCTATCATTCTGGTGGTACATCGATAACGACGTGCAACCACAGGGTCTCAATGGATGCTCTGTATCTATTTTACAAAGAAGTGGACGATCAAATCTTATCCCTGGCACCCTGGACCTCTCGACGACGATACCTCTCAAGACCTGGACGAAATATGACATAAGCTTCAACTCTCAGACCCTTGCTCCAGCGATGATGACATTCATTGTCAGTTGTTCTGGTAGTGCTGGTACTGGATTTAAGTTAGCTATTGATGATATCGATCTGGTAAAGCAGTCTTAGGAACAGGAATATGCTACGTCGGAGAGTTTGTAGATGCCATAAGACTTGGAGACTATGCCAGACAGCTCGCTTTTCATGTAAGACAACTTACCTATATACTTTCTCCGCTTATACCAAGATCTTCGGCTTGAACTACGTATTGTTTATCATCAATGGCTGGTTAGCGAGATCATCTTAGATATATGTTCAAGTTATTCGATTTATTTATCTACCAATTCTCTGAAGGCACTACTCAGAATGGTGCTCACTCGACAACCCTGGCCCGCACACGCGCAGTCTCATTACTTGTGAAGACAGTTTCGATATTTTCCAGCATTTATGCAGATCGTTGAAGGGTGATGGCTTGTATATCGCATCCAGAGCTAGAGCAGGCATAAACAAAAAAAGGAAGATCAAAGGCCACATTCAGCTGGCCTAAAGAGCAGGTTTCCTCTACACTTACAGTCTATAGACTGGCCGAGCCACTCTAGCGTTCCGTACACCCATGGCTTATATGCCAGTAGTAGATGGATATGTCTTGTTTTAAAATTTTGTCAAAAATCGCTATCTGAGAGATCAACAAGATGATATTAGTATTGAGATGTAATCGTTGCATGACAGGATATATGCCGTCCATGAACCAAATTATGCTTCAATTGGTCAAATTGTTTCAAGTACCAGAAGAATGTTCACGCTCAGTAATACTTGCACAGAGACAAGCCTCTTTATTAATGTAATTATAGACTACACATTATCTCAACCGTCATTGTGACATTCCGTACAGTAGTCGATGTGAATCTTGCACGAGTTGGACAAGTCAATATTGCCACAACGTGTCAACCCTTCCTGCTGTCGTCGCCTATCACAAAGTTAGCATATACCTCTCACACATTACTCGAGTCAACTTACAGATCCTTAATGTCCTTGCCTTTCATTCCAATACCATAGTCATCACAAGAGAACTGAAACGTACAACCAGCCTTTCCAAAAGTGAGCACCTTGAGAATACTTCCCATGCGCTCATAGCGAGAAACATATTCAGTATACAAGGTATCATCCTCAAACTTGTTCAGCGCAGCTTCACAAGCTCCAGCAACAGCGTTGCGCACGTTCTTGTCTCCACTGCTGCAGATACTTGATCCGTCGCCGTTCCAGTTCATAGCGGTGGGGAGAGGAGTTGACACAGTAGATGCTTCGCCAAGGCCGACGGTGGCGGTGACTTTGATGGTGTCGACGGCGAAGTAGCTAAGGGAGTAGGACTCGTAAACGAGAACGGTACCAGCGTCAGTGCGGGTGAAAGGCTCTTTGAAGACAGTGGGCTCGGGGGCAGGAGGGGGTGTTGTGTACAAGCTCATAGGGAATTCAGTGTAGTCTGCGCACTGGCCTGAGATCATGGGCGCTGTGACGGCGTATCGCTCGCCATCGCTGGTGGTCTCGCAGTTACAGTAGGGAGTCTCGACGCGAGGGCCGCCGCGGGGAATGCAGGGGTAGTAAGTGCGCATCGTGGTGGTTGCAGTAGTAGAGGTGATCATGTCAGAAGATGTGAGCTTGGTTGTAGTCCCGTCGGAAGTTGTACCAGAAGACTCATTGGAGGACTCTGTGTTGCGGGTAGTTGTGATGAGGGTGCTGGGAATGGTAGTGGTTCGCTCAGTGGTAGCTTCTGAAGAATTCTCCCCCGTCTTGGTGTCGCTGGTAGTCTCAGCGTCAGTGGAAGTAGCCTCACCAGTGGCCTCAGTACCAGTAGACAAAGCAGTAGGCTCTTGAGTGGTAGTAGCTCCAACACCCAGTCCCTCATCCAAAGCATCCTCAACAGCTTCGACAGTCTCCTCATCGGGCTCAGAGTCAAAGTCATCTGGAATATCACTCTCCAGCTCTTCTATATCAAGCTCCTCACCCTCCTCGGCCTCAGCAGACACAGTCTCGGTGGCAGTGGCTTGTGTGCCAGTTGCGCAACTAGCGACGGTAGGGCAGTCACCAAATTCGGTGTGAGTAACCGTTCCGTCGGTGGTGTAGTACGAGATAGTCCTGGTGCAGTCCTCGATCTCAACAGCGGAGCAAGCCTCAGTAGCGGTGGTGGCCTCAGTAGCGGTGGTGGCCTCAGTGGTCTTGGCGGTGGTCTCAGCTGTCGAGGGCTCAGCAGTTGACTTCTCTTCCTCCTTGGTAGACTGATCTTCATCTTCCTTCTTAGTCTCGTTCTTGTCATCCTCACCATCTCCCTCGCCGCCACCACCAGGAGTACCACCGCCGGCTCCAGCGGGGTTGGTACCAGGAGGAGGGGGCAGGATACCAGCTGGGAGGTTACCAGAAGGCTTCCAGAACCACCCACCAGGGAATATGACAATAGCAGCACCACCATCATCAGTAGTAGTGGTGGTACCAGTGAAGTCGGAGAAGTCCTTGTCCTGCTTAGGGAGATAAGTAACTACAGCGCCGTTGGAGCCAGTGACGATACCATCCTCAGTGGTGGTAGGCTTGGGGGGAGCAGTAGTCTTCTCAGGCTCACTGGGGGCACCGGCCTGGCCAGGTTCGTTCTTCGATGTTGGTTCGTTTGATCCAGCGTCCTCCGTCGTGGGCTTAGGACCAGGAGCCTGAGTAGTAGGCTTCTCAACCTCTTCGGACTCAGTGGTAGGCTCGGGGTCTTGCTTCTCATCGGTCGTGGGCTCAGCCTTATCGGTGGTGGACTCGACAGGGACTTGAGCCTCCTCAGAAGTGGAAACCTCAGGAGCCTTCACCTCGGTAGTAGACTCGGTCACGGGAGCGGGAGAAGAGTCCGTCGAGACTTCGGGTGCCGCCTCATCGGTTGTAGGCTGAGCAGCTGCCGAGGTTTCAGTGGTGGGGTCTGGGATGGGGAGCTGAGTGGTGGGCTCAGTCGCCTGGGTGGTAGGCTCGGCGACCTCAGTCAACCCGGTAGACGGAACAGGCGGCTGGATACCAGTTGCAGCATCAGTGGAAACTGTAGTAGCCTCAAGAGGAACACCAGAAGGTTCGGTCGAGGTCGGGTCCACAGGTGCACCGCCAGTCTGAGTAGAAACAAGCGGGGGTCGGATATCAGTGGCGTCAGTAGTAGCCTCAGTTGCAACACTTGGGAGCTCTGTTGTGGATTGTTCAACGGGGGCGACGTTGGTGGACTGGGTTCCAGGCTCAGTCTCTTGTGTGATGGGGTTGGGAAACACGGGATGACGAGTGGCGGTGTTGACGGGGATCTCATTGTTGGTGGTAGCAGTATCAGGCAACGGCTCGGGCTGAGAAGATGTCTCAATACCAGCACCAGTAGACTCGGATGTTCCAACTGGTGGAGCAACATTTGTCGTAGGCTCTGCAGCCTGACTACTCTCGTTGCTTGAAGCAGGAACAACATTGATCTGAGTTGCGTCCCCATCCGCAGAAGTGGTAGGAACCTCCACTTGCGCTTCTGAAGTGGCAGACGAAGGAGGTTGGTCAACAACAGCTTCTGAAGTGGTTGTCTCGGGCAGAGCAACCTCAGTTGAAGGCGCCACGAAACCCAAGTCAGTCGAAGTCTCAGTACCTGTCGACGTAGAAAAGTCCTGCGCAGAAACCCCCGACAACGACGTCGCAAGACACAGCGCAAGAACGCGCAACTTCCAAGGCTGCTGCATTATTGTAACGAACGTGGCAAAAAAGAGTGAACGACTATACCAATATGAACGAATGAATGAGTATAATCCAAAACGAATGAAAGAATGTCCGTAGAGAAGGCAGGATGCAGTGACAGAGGGGAGGGCTTTTCATGAAATGAATGTACCATGAGGATATACCCGCCATGGCTGGCAGTGGAGCTTAATATATCGATCCTTGAAACAAGTCAGCTTCATTAACTTACTTGAAACGTTGTGGAGTTGCTGATGCTCAGCCTTGTTGGGAGACCTGGGGCCGTGCATTGATGAGAATGCAACGGGAAGGACTCGGCGAAATTGAGTTGGATCTTGAACCTGGTAAGCCAAGGCTGATTGTCTATATCACTGTTGCATTGAGAATTTTATCTCAGAGCTACGTTATGCTTATTGGGTGCTGTACGGCTTTGCTGTTATGGAGATGGTGAGATGGAGCGCGCATGTTGATCCATCCGAGAAAGCAATCCTTCGCCTATTCCTTCCTACCGAGTCAATCAGTGCATCTCATTGAAGTACATTGATTCTTTTATTTATAATGAATATAGATATATGGCTTGCACAATCTTGTACTGTCATTTGCGCTATCTCGACAACGTCAGATAACCATAAATCCTTCGCTCACAGTGGCGCACCCCAAAATCTCAGCACACATCTCCCATGTCTTGGTATGCGAAAGTAGTTGCCGACAATTGCCTTGTGAGGCACAGCCAAAGGATCGACAATAAGCGAAATACACAGCAGCACGGAAGGTGGGGAGTCTTATTCTTCATCCACTGACTGTTTGTTCATCACCAATTATTATGGAGTTTCATATGAAATTCAAGGGAGCTGAAGCTGCACCAACGCATCGTCCGGCCGGGCCGATACTCAATGGTCTGTTCATTTCTTAGTAAAGTCTCTGAGACTCGTCAATCAGCGTAGGATCAAAGGATGAAACCCCCAGGGCTGATTTGTGGGGGTGTCATCTTGGATAGTGGAGGCGAGGCTTATGCCAATTTATTGTAGGGGCTACATGGAGATAAACATTCAAGGATGAGACACTCTCTACCATTTCGTTAGAATTTAATATACATACATACATTATCATTCGTTTTGGTTGTCCTTCAGTCATTCGCTCTTTGTCGCGTTCTTCCTAGGCGCAGTCACTCGTTTGAACAGTCACTCTTTACAGTACCCTTCTGCCTTTTGTCTATCATGCGTCTCTCCAGCTTATTGCTGGCCGCTGGTCTTTCCAGCTCTGCACTCGCAGTCGAAGCATCACTAGATCCATGGGAGATCGACCCGAGCTGCAATGGCTTCGAGAACGACATCAAGGATGCCCTGACGCAGTCAATTGATCTTGCTGAGGCTGCGAGAACCAGTCTTGAGTTTCTCCTTGCAAAGATGCCGGACAGAAACTCTGATCCTGACGGTGCTGTTAAGTGGGCGCGCATCAATTCTGCTGCTTTTAGCATTTTTGGATTCATGGGTAACCACAAGGGCCACGATGCTGAGACGCAGAAGTACATTGAGGATCTGAGAGGTTTGCACTAATCATCTCGGATAATTGACTATCGTTGCTAACGTTGACAAGACATTTACGCCAAGACGGCCAACACTCTTCCCTCCTCTCAAAACAACCCCGCCAAAGGCTTCAGCCCAATCCTCTCCCAGAAACCCAACGCCAAGCCCTTGATCGTCTGTGGTGACGATGTCTTCCAGTGGTACGACGTGGACCAAGAGCCCGAGCCCGGTGTTGGCAGGGTTAGAGACCAGCCAGCTGTGAGCAGCTACATCCAGAACGGTGGCACTATCGCTGGTGCCTTTTACCACGCCAACCGTTGGGACTTTAGACAGACCAAAGCAGCTTCTGTCGGACACTGCATCGGCAACCGAGAGGCTCTTATCTCGTCCAGGGATGATATCTTGATTATCTGTCCCAAGATGACGTCTGATGCTGGAAAGGCGCGTACTACGCCTCGGCAGTACAAGACTTCTGCTGCGTTGGGTGACCATATCATGACGAACTGGGTGTCTAACCCCACCCAGCTTTACCACGAGCTCATGCATTGGTTCGGTGGTGTTCAGGGCAGCAACCTACAGCACAGTGAGTTACGCTACATATTCTACCTTGGTCCTAGCCTAACGTTGTATAGTCATCCAGGATCAAGTCGCTGTTAATGATAAGGGCTTCTTGAGATACAAGCACAAGGTCACAGGGGAGGTCGAATACTACACCCGTCCTCCTTCGCAGCAAGAACTCGATCAGAAGCAGCAGAGAAAGCAGGCAACTTGTAAGTTAAGCAAATATTACTGTAGAAAGTATGCTAATTATTTTAAGACGGCCTTCGCTATATTATGAACTTGGCGCGTACTTATAAAGACAAGAATGGCAACAAAAGCCCTTATTCTGGTCCCAAGCTGGCTACTAAGAACGCGGACTCGTTGGCACTCTTTTCCTTCATGATGTAAGTGAATCGAACGACTTGCTCGTCATTCCAGTTTCTAACGGAGACTTTTAGGTACCTAGATCAATTTGACTGGTCCAGGGACGGTGAGGCTCGAGATTTTACCCGCCTCAAACAGAAGTTGGGGTTGCCTTAGTTACTGCCAAGAGTTAGACAAGTTGGATAGAATATTACGTATTGCGTAAATAGTAATGCAACATAATATGCACTGTTGAAAGATTAATATGTCACTTTTTAATGTAGAATTCGCAGCCAATTGCATTGCACTAGCCTGTAGTATGTTTGCGGCACATACCCTACCTCAAGTAGACAATAACAACAGAAAGCACAAGAAAATCCAACAGCAGAGTTATAATCTTATGTAGATCGATAACTGCACTTCCTCACACGAGAATCAGGTGAATTCTCCATCTTTTGCGGCGGAACCTGAAACAACCATAATTTACTTGCCTTTCACGTGACTGTAGGTTAATTGATCTCATTCGCCTACTTCTCTCACTCACTCATTCTCAACATCTCACTCCAACATGGCGCCTTCAAGTCCAATACCTCCCCCAGTCGATTTCCCATCACCAGACTTTTCCTTCAGTAGAGGCAACTCACCAAGCTCTCACTGTATTCTCCCCGTCACTTGTTTGGTTTCGACATGTGCTGATATTTGAGCAGCTCCCGGTCCAGCTCGCTCACCAGACTTTGGACCAGATCGCGACTGGCGAGATTATAGACACTTGATCCCAACGCTACCGTCTACGCGAACTCGTGCACTTACACCGCCGGGCTTCAGTGATGATGAGGATAAGAGTCTGCAGCGACCAGCTGCGACCTTCCAGCAATCGCTCTGGTTCAAGGTGCCTGCTAATCTGAGACGCGATATTCTGAGATTGGCGTTTGGAGATAGACGTCTTCATATGCATCTCGCCTTTGACCCTTCTGTTTGTAACACAGATCTTGAATTGGGTGGGCTCAGTGCTCCAGATGAACAAGCCGACGCAGGGTATTCACAGAGGAAAGTCTGGTCATGGAATGGATGCATCTGCGTTCGAAAGTACGACCCAACGCTAGGGCCTATGACGCGCGGAGGCCTCAATCCAGGTCCTTGGATCGATCGCTGCTGTGACCCAATCAATGTCCCAAAACCACCGCCTGGAAATATCGGCATCATGGGTTGGCTGCAGTCCTGTCGGCAAAAGTACGTCATCATTCCCTATCCATCGATTGGCACTGACTAACACTGCGAGAAGCTACGCAGAGGCAATTGATATTCTCTACTCGACAAACACCATTATTATCTCGGGCGAAGCAACAATCACTGAACTCCCATCGCTAATACCCTCCCACCATCTCGCCAAGATAACATCTCTCGTGATCAAAGCCCCCATTACCAAAGACAACGTCCTCGAGGATGTCACAAACCTCATCCTTCCCAGATCCCGATTCCTAAACCTCAAGCGTCTCTACGTCTCAGTAGAATGGTGCGGCGCAGGTATCTACCATCCAGACCCAGATGAACTAATCGCGTCCTTCGATACCCTGGCGCGAACAATCAAAGACTGCTCTTTCGCTATCCCCATGGAGTGGTTCTCGCGTATCTCGTGGGGTCAGATGCGGAGCGCAACTACAGGCAGACAGATCACTTACAGCCAGTTTTGGCGGACGCTCGGAAATGCCGAGGGAGATGGGGATGGGTATGAGGGCGGGCTTGATGTCGTACAGCTACCTTATGCTGATAGCTATCCGAGGCCTCCGTATCATCTGGAGAGTCCTGGTGCTGGGTATTGGATTCTGGAGGCGAGTGAGATGTCGCTGAGTACGCATTATGATTTTCTTACTGGACATTACAATGATGACTGAAGCGGCTGAAGATACAACCTGTTGAGGTATAGAAAGATCTACAGTTATCTGACCACCGAATAACAGATACTTTTATCAAAGCAGCCCTGTGAAAGTGGTGCGTTAACATTCTGTGATCCTAGTCGTGGATACTGTATCCTGCAGGCGAGTGAACGCCCGTTAAGTGAAGTTTACAATGATTGATCGGCGGTATGCTTCCGACTAAAGCAGTCACTTGAAACCTAGAATTGTGGCTTGGCATCAGCTGACATCAAAACATCACTGGCATCATCCTATGAAAAGTGATGTATCAATGGTCTGTATTTCCGATACACCCTCAACCTCTCGCTTCTATATCCGAGGTGCCCACCTGCAACCATAAAGTTCGTCTGACTGATCGAACAGTAAGCATAGATTACGTAGATCGTGGATCCCAAATTCCCACTTATTTCCTGGCTTTGGTTGACCTAACGCTAGGTAGCTAAGCCTCGGGCCAACTGCCGCCGATGGGGTAGTCTAGCCAAGGAGCGGGGTGAAGTGCACTACCTATTATTTGGTCGGCAAGTGCACCTTATCTACTGATTTATATAAACACTGCCTCAACCGTTTCCGCCATTCCCGGATCTCCTTTACCTCTACGTTGACTATAAGTTCTCAATCAACCACTGCTCACCTCATCTATCAGTCTTCATCATGGCGCCATCAGAGGATTACCGAAACATCTTTCACTGGGCTGAGACCCAAAAGGATGGAAGTATCCCCTCCTTTGCGACTCGAAAGAATGATCCGTATACGTACCTCTCTGGCTTCAACAATCACCATGAATCAGAGGCTATTCCTGGGACTATTCCCCAGGGACAGAATAGTCCGCGATGTGTCAGATTCGGGCTTTATGCTGAGCAGATGACCACGTCGTTTGGTGCTTCTCGCCAAGCTAACAAGAATTCGTGGCTGTACCGCGCGAGACCTGCTGTTGCTCACCAGGGATTCGTAAGTGTCGACGCCTCTGGGGATTACTGTTACTGACGTGGGTAGACGGATATGCCCAAGGTTGAAGGGACGGAGAGCTGCTTTCTGCCTCTTAACTCTGCCGTCAGAATCTCACCAACTCAATTAGCATGGGTACGTGAGCCGACAACCTAACTCTATTACTATCGGCGGCTAACATCCCAAGCTCCCCTTTGACATCTCCGAAGGCACCGACTTCATCTCTGGCCTCCGCACTATCGCCGGCTCAGGTACATCCCCCAGCCTTCTCCATCCAACAACACTAACATACCCCAGGCGACCCTACCCTTCGCGAAGGTCTCGCAACACACATCTTCTCCGCCACAAAGAGCATGGAGAAGCGCGCCTTTGTAAACTCGGACGGCGACTTTCTCATCATCGCACAGCAAGGCAATCTCGACATCCAAACTGAATTCGGCAATCTCTACGTCCAGCCCGGTGAGATCTGCGTCATCCAGCGCGGTCAACGCTTCAAGGTCGCTGTCGAAGGACCAACCAGGGGCTATATCCTCGAAGTCTGGGGTTCGCACTTTGACCTTCCTGAGCTGGGACCTCTAGGCTCAAATGGCCTTGCTAACGCGAGGGACTTTTTGTACCCCAAGGCTAATTACACTGTTACGCGTGATGATCCGTGGGAGATCGTGTATAAGCTCGGCGGTCGTTTCTTTAAGAGCACGCAGAACCACTGCCCGTTTGACGTTGTCGCTTGGCATGGGAACTACGCGCCTTACAAGTATGATCTCACCAAGTTTGTCAACGTTGGGTCTATCTCTGTTGATCATATTGATCCGTCCATCTTTTGCGTTTTGACGGCTGCTTCGCGCGATGCGAATGCGCCGTTGGCGGACTTTCTCATCTTTTCGCCGCGTTGGGATGTCGCGTCGCATACGTACCGACCACCATATTATCATCGCAATGCAGCTTCGGAGCTGATGGGGCTTATTTACGGGGAGTATGCGGGACGGTCTGATGAGTTCCAGCCTGGTGGTGTATCTTTTGAGTGCGGCTGGGTTCCTCACGGTGTAGCCTATGAGGTAAATCCCTTCACATCAACTCCCATCACTCTCATGCTAACGTCTTTCAGGAATTCAAAGCAGCATCCGCTCAACCCCCGCCGCAGATGCAAATCTCCAAGGGCGCAGTGGCATTCATGTTTGAGAGCTGTAGACAACTGACCATTACAGACTGGGCGTGGAACAGCAACAAGAAGCACGAGCACGAGCCCAAGATGTGGGATAACTTGGTCGACAACTTTTCCGAGCACCTTGATGAGATTAATGAGATCTTGGGGAAGAAGACCCTGTAAAAGTCGTGGGGGGAGAATGTCACGGTAGAAAGTCAATTGCAAATGGATTGTTTTGATTGGGTTCGGCAATTTTTTTAAAGCATGAAATTGATCCACTGTTTTTGGGGGGAGTGCAGAAGCTCAAGGCTTCCTCGGCCTCCGAGGTTGACAATATTAACAGATTGCTAGTGTAGATTTATAGTGAGACGTGCTTATATTATTTTGAATCATCTTTCGGGTCCGTATTCGTATGGGGAGCAGGACTATACTCCACTAAGTAAATGCATCATCCAATCACTGATGAGATGTTTCGGGTATTTTTAATCGCTGTGGACCGGGTTGAGCTCTTCCGTTGACTTGAGAATGGGTCGATATCAATTGATGGCATTTCTGCATCAATAAAAGCATCAACATCATCACTTTCACTCGTTCATCAAATACTACAAACCAACACTCTCACTAAACTACTCACTCATTATTCTCAACTGTCCCTCAAAATGAAGGCCCCAAAAACGCCAGAATACGAATTCGGCGGCCCGTAAGCACCCTCCCTCACCCTCCCTCACCCTACCCCTTCATCACTAACTCCCACCAGCATCGGCGCCACAGGCATCGTCTTTGGCCTTCCAATTCTCATGCAGCTTCTCTATCTCGGCTGCAACGACGTCTCAGGATGTCCCGCGCCAGCTCTTCTTGACCCAAAAACATTGACGTGGCAGAAATTCAAGGAACAAACGCCCTGGCCGAAAGAGGGCATTTGGGGATTCGTGAGCTGGGAGGTCACGGGGTGGCTTTTTGCTTATTATTTTATGAGTCTGGTGCTTTATCGCGTTTTGCCGGCGCAGGAGGTCTATGGGACGAAATTGAGAGAGTCGGGAAAGGCCCTCAAGTATCGCTTCAATTGTAGGTGTTTCCTTAGAATGCATTGCTTAAGGAGTGAAGCTGACAAAATTGTAGCCTTTTCCTCAAGTGTTGTACAGTTGGTGGCATGTGCTGTTGGGACTTACATCTATGGCGCTGAATTTCCAGTCTGGACCTTCATGACCACCAACTACCTCCAACTCCTCACTACCAGCACCGTCCTAACCTTTATCGTCTCACTCTACGTCTACATCGGCAGCTTCTCCGTCAAAAAGGGCAATTCCGAGTTGCGCGAGTTAGCTAGAGGCGGACACACCGGCCGCATCATCTACGACTTCTTCATCGGCCGTGAACTTAACCCTCGCGTCACGCTTCCTATTTTCGGTGAGATCGACATCAAGTCTTGGTTAGAGATGCGCACTGCTCTTACAGGCTGGATCTTGTTCAACTGTGCCTTTATCGCTCAGCAGTATCGCAACTACGGCTATGTTTCTGACAGTATACTGGTCATCGCTACGGTGCAAGCTTACTACGTGCTTGAGGGTCAGTACTCAGAGCTTGGACTGCTGGGTATGATGGACATCACACAAGATGGCCTTGGATTTATGCTTACCTGGGGCAACATGGTCTGGGTCCCCTTCCTATACTCGACTCAGTGCCGCTACCTCTCTGTCTATCCTGTTCATCTGGGACCTATCGGTGTTTCCGCTATTGCCACTGTCTTTGCAATCGGGCTGTACATCTTCCGATCCTCCAACAACCAAAAGGCTCTCTTCCGCAAAGATCCCAACCACCCTGCTTTCGCAAACATGACCTTCATCCAGACCAAGCGTGGAACCAAGCTTTTGGCCGGCGGGTGGTGGGGAATGGCTCGTCACATCAACTACTTTGGCGATTGGCTTCAGTCTCTTCCTTTTTCGCTCCCTACCAAGTTCGCTGGATACGTGATTCTGCCAGCTGGTAGTGCTGTAGCTGGAACCGAGGTCGTCAAGATGCTGGATGGTCGTTTGGTGACTCCGGATGGCGCTGCGCCTTGGGGCATGCTGTTTACTTACTTTTACTCGGCTTGGTTTGGGTTCCTGCTTATTCACCGGGAGAGAAGAGATGATGCTGCTTGCATTGAGAAGTATGGCAAGGACTGGGATGAGTATAAGAACAAGGTTAGATACAGGATCTTGCCTGGTGTGTATTAGAGCCTATAATTACGATGGCGAGCAAGGATAATGTCTCTAAGTCAATAGGTCTATATTAAATCTCTTAATTTCCCAACAGTACAAATATTCAGCACAGTATATACACTTCATAGCGCATTCTAGTTCTTGTCTAGAGATCGATATTTGCAGATGAAACTAGGATAGATACGTAATAATTACATGTTCTATAAGATTGTCCAGGGTATGTGACGCGTCTGCACGCGAAGGAATTAAACCCCGCATGATAAGACGCGTCGTCGATTAGTGCCGAAAGATGTGTTAGTCAGCCATGTGCTCTTATCTTATCAGTAACCGAACTTATCTTATCACCATTCGACGAGCTGAAGCCCAACCTGAGATTCACGGTCTCAAACCCTAAATCGCCAATTATCAGCAAGTGTCTCAATTGCCATGGCTCCAATTGTGCCGCAGTGCCAGGTAAGGACATAGAATTCTCTGCTATGTAATTAGCGAGGCTCACGTACTTAATGACAGGCACTGCGATTCGCTGATCAGCAGCGATGCACAGAAGAGGCCACTCACGCAAATGAGCTGTTCTGCCTCTTGCATGCAAGGCAAGCCCACGGCCTATACATTGGCTACAAGAGGCGAAATGCTCAGCTTGATGCTCTCGATAAAGATCCGCCTGCTTATCTAGCAGAGACACATGTCCCGCTAGCCAACGATGACTTTAGCGGTGTCAGCGACAGTAAAGAGATGGAGGAAGTTGTTGATCATCTCCACGTTAAATGGAACACCCTCAACCGAGTCATTGAAGCTCGCAGAAAGCATCACGCTCATTTCTACTCAATCAGCTACGACTATGGCCACCAGGCATATATCGACAAGCTCGTCAGTCATCGTCACATCGTCCTTCTGGCCCTTGGTCGAGCCCGGAAGCGACTTATGGCTATTCTGTACAAGAAAGAGCAATGGTACTCATGGGTGCGCGATGCCCAAGACGACGAAGAAGCAAACCGCGAGAAAGAGCAGAAGAAACTCAAACAGGAAGCTGCTCTGTTCAAGCGTCACATGAAGCAGATGGAAGCTAGAATGGAATTAATGCGCAAGAGGGAGGAGCAGAAACTTCAAGATGCCTTCCTTGAAGAAGCATACCGAGAGCGCATGGCTATGAACGAAGACGCAGATGACGAGGCCTGGGATCCTATTGAGGATATGGAGGATGAGCAGAGACACCGATACATTGACTTGATCAAGCACTTCTTGTGGATGGAAGTTGAAGTCGATGAAGCTACTGCTGAGAAGCCCGTTTCAACTGATGCATCGTCGAGCAAACCTGCAGAAGAACCTGCACCTGCCGAGGAGGTCCCCGCGCCTACCAAGAAGCTGAAGAACAAGAAGAAGAATAAAGGGAAGAGTAATGCTGCTGCCAACAGCTCACCACTGGAAGAACTTCAGAATCTTCTTGGACAAAAGAAGCTCCTTGCCATGCAGGCCAGCGGCAAGCATAGCACCGAGACTGAGCTAAAGGAGCCGGATAAGAAGAACATCGAGACTGAGGATGAGATGAGAAAGCGACTGAGTCAGGGCGTCAAGAAGAACCTGGACAACATCTCTGGCATGCAACTCGTCGGTACCATCGAAAACCCCCATGAGACATGGGACAAGACTGCTCCAATGGAAGACGACGAGATTGACGAATTAATCCGAGACATTCGGGAGATCAAACTCCTCCTCTTCTGCCGTCTAGTCCTCTTACAGGCATCTCTCCTCCCCGCTGCCCTCCGAGCCTCAACTGTCCAAGAATTCCTCGATGACACTTCCGTCACAGAAGCTGATCTCCGAGATCTCTGCCTCAAGGTCGCTGAACCAACTCTGCAAGACATTCGCGACGCATGTGCCGATTTCGCCCGTGGCGACAAAGCAGACGATGACCTCCCCGTCCAAGACGTAGACGACGACGATGACGATGAAACTATGGAGGAGCTTTTGCAAGGTGATAAGCGATATCATCATCTTCACACTGATGATTGGTTTAAAGAACGAGTGATCAAAGAAGTCGAAAGCCATCGATTTAAGAAAAAGGCCAAGAAATCGAAGCGTCAGAGAAAGACAAAGGTTACCATCTGTGGCAAGAGTATCTGGAATCATGCTAGTGAAAATGCCATGTCTCGCGATGGATGGCTCCAATTCTCCGTCATGGCCAAGGACTGCGATCTAAAGCATGCTATCCAACTTTGCAGAAACTGGTCCGAGTTCTCTGATCTTAACCTGCTCACGTTGTGGCAGTACTTCCCAGCATCGAACTGGACGTCCTGGGGCCAAGACCGCTTCATGCAGCAGCTCCAACAGCTAGGCTTCTTCCCCTACTTCACTGACTTTGATGCAGACAAGTATAGTCACCATCATCAAATCGGCGGACGAAGCCAAGGTCGTCGCCAGCATGATATCGTTGAGACGAGGAACATTCTCGTTGGAAACATGAAGCGGAATGATCCTGTTACCAGACGCTTTCTGCAGTATCTTCTCATGCGGAGGGGAGAGCTTCTTGTCATGGTGCGGGATGGCAAGACTGGGCGTGTCATCACTGCGCCGGATGATGAGCAACTCTGGACATATCGGAAGAAACAAGGGCTTGGAAGGGCTTCGAAGAATGATTGGTTTAATATTCTAGAGGTTGGGCCTGATTTTATGAAGCTGACGGATATTCTGAGAGAGTGGAGGTTTGGATTTGATGACTACTATGATGTGTTTATCTGGGACTTTGTACCCGGCGAGCCACACATGGACCTCTACAACATTGTCGTCATGGTAAGCCCCCCAATCCCCAGCTTGTTCACTATCTCTGACTCTGGCTAGGAACTTCGTAATGCCTGGCGTATGAGAACACCTCGCGACATGTACGTCCACATGGAATCTCTCCTCCGCAGCCTCCACCGCAACGAAAATACCATGCGCACCCGCCAGATCAAACCCGGCGAGAACCTCAAAAGCCTTTGGGACACCATCGCAGACGAAAGATCAGAATTCCGACTCTTCGACGTCAGCAACAAAAAAGTCACCATGCGCAAAGACACCGAACTAGCTGAGTCGCCATACATGTTCTACAACAAAGCCAACGAAGTCGAAGACGCTATTCTCTTCCCTGACGAACTCACCTCTGACAGAAAGAGTGTTGCGTTTCGGGAGATTAGGAATGGTGTTGCGAGTATCGAGGATGGCATTCTGCCTAGTACGGCTAGACACTTTGTCAAGGGGCTGGAGGCTATTAATAAGGGGAAGGATCCGATGAAGGCGATGCGTATGGCGAAGCATGATGATGAGAATAATATTTGGGGACTACCTAAGGTCTGGGAGACGGCGCTTTTGCAGGCGAGGAGTGATAAGTTGAAGAAATCGCAAAGGGCACTTCTTCAGCGGACGGGGCTGTTGAATTCGTATAAGACGCTGTCGTATGATCGACGACTTGAGGAGTCTGATCCTATGGAGATGATGGAACGAGACAGGGCTTTTAGTAAGTATTTCACTTGGCCAACATGATGGAGACTAACAGGAACAGGCTTCAAGGAGTCTTTCCACGCTGGAGATCTCGAACCAGGGTACAACGCCAAATACAACCTCCTCCAAGAAACACTCCGCGCTATGCTCAAGACGCCTCACGTAGGTTCAACAGATTGGATCTTTTTCATAGCCGAGATTCTCGAGTGGCTTGACCTTCGCGGCGATTACGACGACTACGTCCAGGATCCGCAGTATCCCTGGCCACATAGCTTCATCGTGCAAGACATCGTCCAAGCCTTCGCCATGATCGCTATGTTCTTCCCAAACTCGGATGTAGCAAAGCTACCAACCATGTTTGTCAACTCAAACCAGTGCGACGAGTTCAGAAAATCAGGAGTCTTTGATCCCAGGGAACGAAGCAAAGTGCGGCCTGATCGAAGGACCAGAACGAGCTATAAATTTAGGGAGAAGGAGTTCTGGAAGGAGTGGAAGGAGTTTTATAAGACGGAGAGATACTTTGGGGATGTGTACCCCATGGAATGGAGTCTCGCAGTCCGTCCTATCATCGCTCATTGTTCGTCATCCCCCGCTACTATAAGGCATTACTAACGAGTAACAGTGTATCAAGCTGGTGTTATAGGCCCAGCGTACATGCAGAACCATCCTGAAGTTGTTCTCGGCATGGTAACAGCCAACACCGAACCCCACCGCCCCGACAAACTCGACCTCTTCATCAACTACCAAGACCAATACGGCAACTTCCCCATGAAATACCCCCCCAGCTTCGTCGACCCCTCCAAATGGCCCGAAGTCATCCCTACCGCCCGCACATTCTCCGCAAAGCATCCCACCGCCCGTTTCGCCCTTCTGCGTCTCTGGTCCGCACCGCACTACTACCCCTTCATGGTAGGCATTTCCAACCGCAGAAACACAAGCTTCCTCGATAGTCGCGGCCGATCGTGGGAGTGGAAGTTTGTCCCGAAAGATATGCCTGGTAGTGAATTCAGTGCGCACCACACCACGGGGAAGAGGCTGGATGTGCTGAAGGATAAGTTTGGGGATAGGGTTGTGCATAGGGGGGATTTGATATTGGTTATGGGGGTGGATGAGGATGATTTGTTCAGGTTTTGTACGGCTGTTACGTTTGCGATGCAGACGAAGCCGTGGTTGAGGGAGATTGACCTCTGGAAGAGCTTTATCAACGTGGACTTTGAGTTTCTGCTCGACTTGGAGTCTTTCTGGCTGGATTAGAAGAGTCTGAGTGCTGCCGAGAACAATTGAAGCGGCGCAGGGACTGCACCAAGGTCCTTGTCGATAAATAAGTTACTACTGAACCCTCTTTTCCCACCACGCCTATAAGAAGTAATCATACAAGGATTACAGACCATACCTACTTAGCTGTAACGCTGGTGAGAACTTAATTATATATAAATGTCAATTAGTAGGTCAGAATAGTTCTTGATCCGGCCTTATTATGCCTCTTATAATTATAAGAATTCTCTTTTGGGATTTCTTTATATCTGTACACTTGAACTTCCCTGCTCGTATTGCAACAAGCTATGCTAATTAACTAACCTGATCTTGAACGTTTATATAGTCCTAGGAGCAATTTTAAATTGAGATATTTAAACGAACTGTCTTCTCTCTTCGTGTAACAACTTCTTTTAAATTCATTTTAATCTGGCCTCATCTCAAAATGAAGTTCACTTATTATACCTTTTTACCCATCCTCCTCCTCGCCACTTCCACCCATGCAGGATATTGTGGTCCAAGAGCAAGGGTATATAAGGTCGAGTCTGATCCAAACTGGCATGAGGATGCCCCCTACTGCGACAATGGCTTCGGCAATGTGCAATGTCCCTATGGCAATGCACCTCACGACGAACAACAACATTACCCTGTTGTCGAAACTCAGAAATGCGCGACTATGGTGAGATATATCTAGAGAGATCATCCAGTTTGTAAAACACATACTAAGATAGATTCAGTACACGTGATGTCGTTGGGAATTGAGTCCTATGCGAATAAATCTTTTGGATCAGTTGATTAGCCGTCGCCCATCAGTGTTGATGGAGGCCAAGGTTGGGGAATCAGCCCTCGCTCAGTAGCATGTCTGCTTAGGGTAGCAAGGATTCAGCACAGGAATGGGAATGGGACTCCGTTTTCTAGGCTTTCGTCTCCGAATTGGATGGTGGCAATGGATGCACTGAGAGCAGAACTGTCATGGCCGTGATTACAATTTGGAACCGCCCGCGTCCACCTTCATCATCACACTCTTGACCTCCAAGAAGTTATCCATACTATAAAGCCATCCCTCTCTTCCCTGACCCGAAGTCTTGTATCCTCCAAAAGGAAGATCTCTTGCAGTCGTGGGGCTGGTGCAGTTGATACCGACATAGCCCGAGTTGAGCTGTTGAGTGACCCTCATAGCTCGATCAATATTCTTTGTGTAGACCGCTGCATACAGACCATACTCTGTATCATTTGCCTTCTGAATAGCCTCTTCTTCCGTTTTGATGACGTTGATATTCACCACCGGCCCAAAGATCTCCTCTTTCATGATCTTGGCGTTTTCAGCTGTGTCCAGAAAGATCGTCGGTTCAATGAAGAAGCCTCCGGTCTTGCCATAACTTCCCTTTCCACCTTGAACAAGCTTTCCCGACTTTTTACCCTCATCTATATAGGACAGAACAGTCTCGTACTGAGTCTTGTCTGCTTGCGGACCGTGATCAACACCCTTTTGCGTTGGATCACCAGGCTTCGCAGCTGTAAGTACCTTCTTACTAGCTTCAATAAACGTCTCAGCAATGGCATCTTGCACGTAAACGCGAGAATTCGCCATGCAGACCTGTCCACTGTTCCACTGGATACTGTGCATAGTGTCTTTGGCCGCTTGTTCAATATCCGCATCATCGAAGATAATAACAGGCGATTTGCCACCGAGTTCAAGAATCACCTTCTTCAGGTTGGACTTGGCAGCTGCTTCCTGAATCGCCCGTCCTGTTCGTCCCGAGCCAGTGAACGAGATTGCGCGTACGTCCATGTGTGACGAGAGGGCGGCTCCTGAGGGGCTACCATGGCCTGATATGACGTTGAAGACTCCAGGTGGGAAACCTGCTTTGTTGATCAGCTGGGCTAACTTGGCTGCGCCGAGCGGCGCTTTCTCGCTCGACTTGAGCACGACTGTGTTTCCGGTGATGAGCGCGGGCGCAGTTTTGCCCGCGAAGAAGAGGAGAGCGGCGTTCCAGGGAATAATAGCACCGACAACACCGAATGGCTGGCGTAGAGTCATGGTCACATAGCCTGGCGTGTTGAGACTCGCCTGGCCTTGGATATGAGGCCAAGCCTCGGAGTAGTACTCATAGCTCCCAGCAGCGGCGTACCCCTCAAAGAACTCTGGAAGTGGACGACCCATTGATTTGGCCTCGAGTAAAGCCAGTTCGTCATTATGTTGTCTGATCAGACCCGCGAGTTTCTTCATGTAGCCGCCGCGCTTGGCGGGATCTAAAGCAGACCATGCGGGGAACGCACGCTGAGCAGCTGCGACCGCGTTGTTGACATCGTCTTTTGTGGCTTCGGGGACTTGATAAAGACAGTTTTAGCCGATGATCAAAGCGGGGATTGTTTGTGTCTTACCGTCTGCGACTTTATCGCCTGTCGCTGGGTTAAAGAGGGGAAAAGTGTTGCCATCAGAAGCGCCGACCAACTGATATCGTCAGTTCACTTTAATCAATGAGCGGGGAATTGGCTTGTACTTGACCGTCAATGAGCATCAGAGGCTTGATTGCCTCACTTCCATTCGTGGAGCCCATAATGAATGATGAGTATTTGGTCTTTGTGTGAGTTTGAGTACTGAGAAATGTCTCAATTTATCAATGACGAGATTGGTTTCACATGACATCAATCATGAACTTGATAGGCAAAACATCCGGAGGAATTTATGCGCCACCCCCGCAATAGTTCGGGAGGGGGAACAGCCGTCAAAGACTGCAGCCGAGACGCGGCGCTATCAACGGCCCGAGATGATGATCGTGGTGGAGTGGATCCGGCAGAGTACGAGGTGATGTTTATCTGTGACTCTGTGTATTATGCATAATAATAAGTCTATGATCTCTATCTGATATCAGTCTTTGAAATCGTGGACGTGGATATAGTTTGTTCTTGTCGCCACCTAAAGTTACTCTACAGGAAGCCATTGACAGGCCAATTCCTTGATCTGAGCAGGGAAATGGGTTTCCGGTACCTGGACACTTTCTCTGCCGCTGAACCAAGCGTAAAATGCCCGAAGACTAGCTAGTTCAGGGTCTTCCAGAAGATCCAGACAGTAGAGGTCTTTGGCAAAGTGCAGAGTCGAGTATAAAACGCAATCAGCGATAGTGACCTGTCCATCTCCACCATCAAAGCGAGTGTCCCCGTCATAGTATTTCTCCAGCAATTTAAGATTCTTCTGGCAGTACTCAAGAGCATGTTTTGCAGTAGTTGCATGTGTCTCCTCAAGCATGTTGAACAGCGCCGTCCCCTTGTGGCACGCAAACCCAAACTGACTGGTGACTTCATCCGCAAGACCCAGAACTTCTCTGACGCGTGCTTTCTCCTCCGCCGTCTGTCCGCGCATACTGCCACCAGCATTCTTAGCAAGTTCAACTTGCCACGGCTGCTGCGGATCATCGCAGATGTCTTCAAAGTACTCGAGAATGGCGATTGACTGTTTGATGAACTTTCCATCAGAAAGACGCAAAACTGGCACTGTGCCTTGAGGTTTTCCGGGCGCCGTTAAGCTGTTGCTATTGGGGGAGACGGTCACTTCTGTGATTTTGACGAGTGGTGATTTGAGGATGTTCTTCTCGGCGAGATAGATTAGGACGCGGCGGGGATACATTCCCCATGAGAGGGAGAAGAGTTCGAGAGGGGTTGACATTGTGAGGGTAATTGATAGATTTATCGGGTGATTGAATGAGCTGTGGCAATAAGATTGACTCAATAGGGACTTTTATATGTCTTTGGTGAGGAGACTTTGCGGATTGTTTAGCTGACGTGAAGTCTCCGATAGGTCGGCCACTTCTGTGTCGGGATCTTTAAAGTGGCCGGTGGCTACTGCTATGAAATTTGAGCTGGGATATGGCCGAGAAAGTATCCAGTAAGAGAATTGAAAACACTGGGGTCAGGAGAAAGGTGTCAAGGAGATGCTGCTACCACTCGATGGGGTAGTTATGCTAGCAAAGCATTAACGAAAGTACGTCAAAGTATCAACAGGCTCATTATTCATCTACATTTTGAGTATACTTTAGCTCAAAGTCCAAGGAACAACTCTCGAGCAGATCTGATCTCAGTCCCATGGCCGTCTCTACAGTTTTGGAACCATCCGTTGAGTTGGGATTTGAGCTATGTCGACTGAGGCATATCTCCTCCGAGTACATCGTAATGTTTCAATCAATGTTTCTAAATTGCAAGATGTGAAGGATCTACTGAGAGACATTGCTTGAATGGTAATGGTGATGTCAACGATCCCGTGTGCTGCATGTGGAGTTAACATTTCGTGTCGTCAACCTCGGCGTTCTAAACAAAATATCTCAGCATTTTTAGTCGATGGTGCAATTGAGCAGCCCACAAGCCATGTTGTAAAAACGCAAATCCGTATGATTCTACCCTGTCCATTTGTCTATAAATTCAGCACTTCCTCCCTCATCCAAACTCCTTTCGAAAGACACCACATCCTGCTCCCACGTCAGAGGGGGCATTCCACCCTATTACCCTTCCTCTCTACCCCCAATCTTCCAAAATGGCTCCTTCATGCCTTTCCAGACTCCTCCTCATCCTTCTAGTGGGAGCCACCCACGTCGTGGCTCATCCTTTGAACATGGACAGCCCATCCCCCGTCGTCGTTGCGAGATCACCATGTAGAACAGGCGGATACTACAAGAACAAGTACAAGGACAAGGACAACGAGGGTAATGTCACCTGGAAGGCTGTCATAGAAGAAATGTACGAGAACGAGAACAAGTACAAGCACGGTGATCACGACGATAAGGAGCCTACAGACGAAGCGTACGAGGATAAATGGAAAGACGCGTGGAAGGACGCGTTGGAGAAGTACAAGAACAAGAACAAGAGCAAGCACAAGCACGGGAATCACGACGACGAGGAGCCCAAAGACGGAGCGTACAGTCACAAGAACAAGAACAAGAACAAGAACAAGAACAAGCACGGTGATCAAGACGATGAGGAGCCCTCAGACAAAACGTACAAGGACAAGTACAAGGATGCGTGGAAGGACACGTGGGAGAAGTTCAAGAACGAGCAAAAGAACAAGTACAAGCCCCATGGTGACAAGTACGCATCAAAGTACAGGCCTGAAGAGAATGGAGTCAAAGAATCGACAAAGACCGAATATCCAGAGGAGGTTTCTTCAAAGGATGACAAGAAGACCGAAACAACCCACAAAGGCGAGAAGTACAAGTCTAGCAAAAGCAAGAATAACAAAGACGACCAGGAGGACTTGGATTACTCAGCCCAAAAGAGCAATAAGTATGCAATCGACCATGACAGCGAGTCTCAATTCGAATCGAAGGTGGTGAAGTCTTTCGTTAAAAATCCTAAGAACGGGAAAAGAAGCGAGAAAGAGAAGGCTCGCCAGGTCCTCAAAAACAACAGAGATGGAAAGTCCAAGCATGGTCAGGGCAGCAAATACCCCGGGGTGAAAGGCAAAAAGAAGAAGACAAACAAGTCAGGCGGGCGTACGGTGTCTTTGTTAGATATTTTGACCGGGGGGAAAGGCCGGCTTCTATTTAAGATATTCGAGAAGAAGAAGAGGCCCAAGTACAGGCCCAAGGGCCCCCAAGTACCTTCGCCAGGCTTCTCCGCCAAGCATCACAAGAACGGACTAGCTCCCACCGAAGAGAAAGGAGTTCAGCAAAAGGCAAAGATTTCGCCAAGATGCGGGATCCTACCATTTTGGGCTTGGCTACTTATTGGAGACAAGATCGGAAGGAACAGGGAGGCAAAGAAGAAAAATAAGCAGATAAAGGAATTGGAAGAAGCTAAGAAGAAACAGGCACAAAAGAATGGACTACGCAAGGGCCCCCGCCTGATTCCGACTTGGGTTACAGACCCCCTGGTTGAGAAGGAGAAGCTCAAAGAAAAATTTCGAAAACTGCAAAAGGAAAAGCAGAAAAAGCCCTCGAGCAAGTTGATACCCAACTTTGATGGTGAAACCAGCAAGGTTCCCGTGAAAAAGCCCATCAAGGAGAAGGAAAATGTGAAAGAGAAGGTTTCTGCACCCAGCGGCAAAGAGTCAGATTCGTCCGAGACGCAGCAAAAGAAGACCAAGGAGAACAAACAGATGTAAAAGGTGCGAACCCAACACGGCCTCGTTATATTTCCTCGACAAGTACGCTGACTAGAAATCAGGGGAAGAATCTGATAAGGCGTTTCTGGGGGGCTGTTAATGTATTGATATGATTATTGATGGGAGTTGACTTGGAGACCGAAATATCAGTGGATGAAAAAACATGATTCGGAGATACATTGCGATTGCGAGACGTATAAGGAAGAAAAAGGCCAAGGGGATTGAACGATCACTGGGGCAGCACGTGGGGCACCCAAGGATCAAAAACTATCAAGTTAATGCAAGTTCAATCGGCTCTGGTCTTCATTCCTCTTGCAAGCTCTCGACCCGACAAGGCTCTCGGTGGTGGGGGAAGAAAAAAGGACAGTTGGATCTCTCAGGTCTAGATTGCGCTGGACTCTAGCCTTGGTTTGGTAGTTGATCTTCGATAGCTGGCGCCACAGCATACCAATACGATCGACTGTCCTTAAAGAATTCTCCTTTTGTGAAATAAACTCTAGTGGCTTCATGGCCGGAAACGTATTAGTACATGTGTGATGTGTAAATACTCTAGCAGTTTGTGAAGCTGAAAACAGTGACTTTTATCAAGTTCTTTAGATCATGAGTTATAAGAGACCATCCCAAAATGAATGAAGGTATTAGTCCTGTGTGTCATACTTTGTGATAGACAGTGCCCTTGCAAGTCGCTCCGATAAACTATCCACAGTTTGCACATTTTATTCATCCAATGACTCCCTTGCACGAGTACGAACCCGAGCCAGTTCAATCTCAAAAGCCTTATTCTTAGCATCCTCATGTGAATCTGAAGAGTCAGGGCAAGACTCCAAGTCAAAATCTCGCGATGAATGTGATAAACGTCTGATAGGTCGACTGGGCGAAATACCCGATTGATCCTGGGTAAGTCTCGCTGCTTCTGGTTTCTGGATGGAGTCGGTGGTGTAACGACTGCTTTGGCTTGTTCCCTTTCCTCGGATGCTGTTGAATGCGCGTGAGTTTGCAGCGAGGTTGAAGTAGGGTCGTAATGAGGGCAGACAGGCGATGACCAGACCGAGATATAGATCCAAAGTGTTCCAGAAGTCTACATGTATGTCAGTGTGTGTTTATGTGAGTCTGGATGAGATACTTACGGGCTTCGACGATTGAAACCTTGCGATGGGCTCCGGCGATGAATAGTTCATGGAACCGGACGATACTAATGATCATGTTGATGATGCCGAGAAGGAAGGTCAAGTAGACACCAACTCGCAGCCATCCTTTGATCATGAGATCAGGTACAATAAGCCAAGGAAGAATGAAGACTGAGTATGTCAGCTTAGGTCATGTCATCAAGATGAAGCGCTTACTGAATACATCGCCAGCAAAGTGCAGCGCCCAAGAAGTCTTCAAAAACATCATTGCAGCATTATGTGGGCATCTGTTGTCAAGTTCCAGTGACCTATCAATGTTAGCAACTTGCATAATTCTGCTGCTGACGGTGACTAACCAGAATCTAGTGACCGGGATACAGACACAAAACGGAAGAGCCATAGTGACAATATAAGATAGCGCAACATAGAGAGCAGTCGCCCACAAAAACATCCTTCTCTTGCGCATATGAACAGGAATGACCTGGCGGTAGACAGCCAGCAGAGCAGCTTTGCAGAGGTAAAACGCCGTGAAGAAAGGCAAAGCACAGATCCAAAGCAACTACCCAAGTGTTAGTCCTTGACCTTAACAGCAGCAATTATTCCATACCTTGAGAACAAACTCTTTGTCCTCGCGAGTTGCATCATAATCCTTCAAAGTGCCGTCGACCCATGGTTCCATGACGCCCATGTGAACATATGTGACACAGAACGACGCCACGGTTATACCAGCTGCCCATGCTAGAATCATCCATATGTCGCTGTCGATGAGTCTTCGTTTTTGGATGATGAGTCGGAGGTAGATTCGCGCGATGATGACGATGGTCGATAAGGCGATGAGTGTCCATTCTGTGATCTATACTTATTAGCTATTGAATTAGGCTGTAACGATAATACTGACGAGAAGGGTTGAAGGTCCTATCGCCATGACTGCGGTATGACTGTGTCCACGATCTAGCATGAGAGTGTTGCTTAATACTGTACGCACGTACAAGTGACGCTATATGTAAGACATGGGAAGAATCAACCACCAAATGCATCAGTCCACGGATGTGATGACACCCTCTCTAAATACCATGCTCGCTCTTTCGCGAGGAGGAAAAATAAAGTTTGCCTTCCCTTTTCATAAGCGATCCGGAATCTCTTAGCGGACGGGACGTGGCGCATTCCGTATGCAAGGGCTCGAAGCAGATCTGAGCAACCACAAAGCTAAAATAACTGGGTAGTGAGACCACAAGAGTCGAGCCTGTTGTTGGTGATGGACGGTGCTGGTATGTTATGTAAAGTCAGTTGGGTGTAGCGACTTGGTATGATGATGAAGGCCTCATAACGCTTACGCGGATATGTTCGCTTACTTGGTGAGGCTGGGAATGGAAGGTTGAGGTCAACACGTGGCAAAGCCATCATTGAGCAAACAGATTGTTGGGAGGGATGATGAGGTGAGGTATCGTATGTCTTGGCGAAGGGATTGCTAGATTGAGCAAGTTGAGGATGTCTGGACTGACATGGCTGCGAATTGAGGGTTTAACGGTGTCTATTGTAGACCTGCTATACTGAAGCTGTAAGTTTTTGAGGACAACATTAGGTCTAGCACCCGTTCCAACGTTTGGAGACATGATTAGTAAATATCTGACTTAATAGTGCTTATGTAGATCCAGCGTCAAGACCAGGTGATGGGGTAGTACACTCATGTGCAACAGCGTTGCTCAACGCCCTGGTCATTACACACAATAGCCATTATTGTGAGCTTAAATCAGATCATAATTCTTATTCACCTCTCAAATCACCCGACAATAAGAGAACCTCGCTCTGCATACTCATACCAACTACCTGCTCCCGAAGCAAAGGCCGTTGGTCCGAGGCATGTAACATGAGCAAAGACGTTATATATGACCATTGTATGCGTCATCTCACACCAACTACTCAACGGATCTACGGCAGCAGCGTTATAGACAATGGTGCCTTTGTCAATGCCCAATGTCAGTGGCGCCGACGAAAATGTCGCTGATCTGCAGCATGTCAAGCGACTCTCCGATCGACCAACTCTATTCAAAAAGAGCTGCATTTCGCCAAGACTCCAAACATCGCTTGTCCGAAGTTTGAGACAAGTTCAATTGCATAAAAGTATTGCCCTTGCTTGACGGTGAGCATCTCTCCAGGACTTGAGGGAATCGATGGTGACCTCATATGATCGGCATGATCACAGAGAATTTAGTGAGGGGAGGCTACTATGTAACGTTCACGCGGAGCCTTTTAAATTATAAAATGGATCATTATGGAGTCGTATTGTCAATTCACGCGGTGAGCAGGCATACCTGAGATCTTCTGTGCTTAGTTAAATTTATGGAGTAGCTAGCTTGGAAAGTGATACAACGTCGCGTAGAGACCCTAGTAAATCACCCACGGAGAATATCGTGCAAGCGAACGTATATTATACGACATATGCCTAGAATTGTATCACGCAAATGTTTCATGTAATGTTTTGAGTCCATGAAACCAAGAATTGTTTCAGTGGGGTGCCCTCAGATGATCTGAGTCGCCATGACGCGCTATCAGGGTACGTCTGAGCGAAATCCGAGTCACGAGAGGGCCAAAGCGCTGTCATCCTCTCAGCGCGAATAATGGTTTTCCAAGCTAATTGGATTATTTGCTACGTCAATGCCAAATGTCACGATAGCGTCGAGACGGACTCACATCTCAGTGCCATATTGACGGGCCCAAATCATTAATGGACCAGGGTAGTCCCCAGTCACATGCTCACTCTCTGCAGCGGGATCTTCGTTCGTCACCGGCCAGGTTACAGATCTACTTGAAACCAAAAGACACGCCACGGAATTACGGATAATCACGACATTCGATGTCGCTCGATTATCAGGCAAGAATCAGTCAAAGCGGTGAAGCCAAACCAAAACAAAAGAGCAAAAATGAGATCTGATTGATATGCAGGTCATTTCAACAAGGATATGGCTTGGCATTGATTCTTCGGCTTCCCAAACTGTTGGGCCTCTTGGCTAAGCAGCGCAATATCACCAGTGGAGATTCCAACAAATTGATCGACGAAACAAAAGACCGCACAGAGCTTCTTCATCGTTACAAATCCCTTACAAACCCGCAATCTTTAACCTCGGAACATTCGGTAAAGCCTGTCAGTGTCAACGCCGAACCCCACTCCAACCACATGGTCATGGCCCATGGGCATATTGTGATCGGCAGTTAGCAAAATCCGAGCTCACGTCGCCCGCAACAGGCCTGCGGCAGTTGACGCCCCAATCTGGTTGGCTGCAGTAAAACAACGATCAGCGGTATTCTTCAGGTCCAGGGTATCATTGCCTCCGCAGATCAGGTCGGAGAGATTACAGCTTTAGGAAAGAGATGCACGATTAGATCATCGCTCTGCAGGGGGGGATATTGATGATTGGATATGCATTATAAGCTCAAGCTCGTCGATCTCTTACAGTTGTGAGACGGAGTCTGTGAGAGCTGAACTATGAGCCCCTCTCGTGAATTAATATTAATATACTAAACTAGACCTTATGGTCCCCGCGTGAGGGAAAATGTGTTTCTGATGACTCCAAACATATGTTGAATCTGCTTCCGTCGTGAGTGCACAATGTACCTTCGTTGGGCTGACGAGAGTAATCCAACTATGGATACTCGTTCAATGCCGGCGGATAGTTCATCCCGCTCGGTAGAGATTCAAGCCATTCTCATTACCTTCTCCATTCTTTCTACCATCACCGTCGTATTGCGACTCTATGTGCGATACAAGGTTCTTCATTCTCTCGGCTGGGATGATAGAGTTATGGCTGCTGCCCAGGTCCTTACAATTGGAGCTGCAGTGGCTATTGGCTTAGGTATGCTTCGATCAACGCTGTT